AAAGTGTCTTGGGGAACCCCTCTACTGCCTACTTTCCCTCTCCACAGCTCATAATCACCTTGTCTGTTCTGAAACCTCTCACACCTAACAGCCATAGGCTCAGAACAAGCCCAGAGAAACAGTATTGCCAGCTCTTGTGATTTATCACAAATCTCACACATATTTGGTGTTTTTTCCTACAAGCCCCAGCTCCTGGAGTCAGGTGATCTCATAATCTCAGTTTTCATTAAGAAAAAACTTTCTAGCCTTAATGGTTGGAAAAACCTGGAAAATGTGAACCCTGAAGGCCCCACATCCAGCAGGAGAATGTAAAGAACTCCACATTTATTATTTTTCAAAATCTCGTGATTTTTAACTCATAATTTTGGGGGGCCTGAATCATGGTTTTGAAAGATTGAGGTTGGCCACACTGAAGAACACACACAAATGACACACATTAAATTAAAGAAGATGGGGATTAGTACAATAATTGTAAAGTCGATAAGGACCTGGCCAAAAGGGAGAAGGCAATGGGTTGTGCTAAAAGGTGAACGATTGGATTGGAGGGAGGTTACAAGTGCAGTTCCTGAAAGATTGGTCTTGGGACCTATCTGATTAGGCTGCATCGTCAATACAGATGAGGTTCAGAATATTATACAGGAAGATCTGGATGACTTTGTAGACTGAAATGACAGAAATGAAATGAAATTCAATAGTACAAAGTGTACGATCATACACTTAGGGTCTGATAATAAGAATTTCTGCTACAAACTGGGGGCTCATCAGTTGGAAGCAACAGAGGAGGAGAGAGATGTGGGTGAGTTGGTGGATCACAGGATGACGATGAGCCACCAATGTCATCCTAGGATGTATCAGGTGAGGCATTTCCAGTAAAGGTAGAGAAGTGTTAATGCCATTGTATAAGGAAGTGGCAAGACCTCATCTGGAATACTCTTTACAGTTCTGGTCACCCGTTTTCAAGAAAGATGAATTCAAACTGGAACAGCTGCAGAGGGGAATGGATGTCCTATCTTATGAGGAAAGGCTGGAAGAACTTGGCTTGTATAGCCCAGCAAAAAGAAGGCTTAGGGGGATATGATTGCTCTCTATACATAGATCAGTGGGTAAACCTTTTAAGCTAAAGGACAATGTTGGCATAGGAACAAATAGGCATAAACTGGCCATGAACAAAACCAGGCTGGAAATAAGAAGGTTTCTAACCATCCCTGCCTTAGTAGTACTTATTATAAAAACTAATAAATTGCAAACTGGGCAAAATGCATATTTTAAATGACACCCAAACACCTCTGCTAATGCACCTGATGACATCTTTTTAACTCTTTACATTGACATTCCATGAGGAGAGTGCACAAGACCCGAGTTGAGAGCATGCCCACTGCAGGAGCGATGCTTCCATAGGTTCTCTCTTCTCCAGAGAGATTCCAGTCTGTAGTGGGGGAAAATGGTGCAAACTAATGTGAACTGGTTGTCATTAATTTACAATAGTTTGGTGGTGGGTTTCAGTCCAGGGGAATGGGGCCAGCTTTCATATTTTTTCCTCTTAGACTCGCTCGGGGGTTCTGCAACAACATAGAATATCATTGGAAGGGTTTCTGTGGAGGTGAGATAAAACTACTCCTCCCTTAAAACACTTCCCCCACCTCAGATCTGTGGGTTTTGTCTCCCCTCCAGTTGTAGAAATGGAGCAGGTTTTGGAGTCCACAGCTGGCTGCAGTTATTAATATGCTCTAAAATATTGTTTTGTTGTTTGAAGTTTTGAAAATAAAACACACACAATATTTTTACTTTTTTTTATTGGTGACAGAAATGATCCATTAGTGGTTCTCTAGCTCAGACTAACCTCTTTTTTTCCAAACAGAGATACTGTCAGGTTACACCAGGTGAGTGATCTGATTGGTGGAATATTCTTATATGCTTAGTAAGGCCTGATCAGCCAGACTTAGCCTTTGAGGCTGTTGGTCCCCAAAAGAACTTTGGCTTCCTGAGCTCCTTAGCTGCAGAGGTACCAAGTGGGAAATGTCTTCTGTGGCATGTCCAGTTAGACAGTCTCTGCCATCACCTTTCCTCATCATCCTGTACCCAGCTAGATCAAAATACACATCAGTCAGTCGCTTGAGACATCTGTCAGCTAGGGAGAGCAATAGCACGGCTGTGGCCTGAAATAAAAAAACCCAAAACAAATGGCCTCCCACTGTCTCTGGGGAGAGGTGTCAGAGTCCAGTGGGAAGCCTCCTACTCTCTATGACTCAGTCTGTATAAAGATGCTTTAGTTAATGTAGCTGTTCTAACAATACGGGATTTTATATGACAGAATTGCAGTTGATTTTAGTGCACAGGAGGACTGTATCTAACATTTAATGTAAAATAGAGTTTTACTAAGACTAGCCCAGATTTTGGGGTTTGTAGTTTGAAAAAATATCTGCAGTTAGATATTTTAGTTATTAGCCTCTAATTAATACCCCCCAAACTTTGGTAAATAATATATTGTCTGAATATTAAATATTCTAATCTGGGACTAAATTTCCCCCCTATGTTAACTTTAGTTAAAATTACTCCAATTTACATTGGTGTAAATGAGATCAGGATCAGGATAGATTCAATGTAATCTACACTTAGTTCATCTGTTAGAGCTAAAGTTTTCTAGGAGTTCATTCTAAATCAGCAGCGGCTTTCTGTGATCTTGATAAAATTCTTGATTATGAGCAACCCCAACAAATAAAGGGAAGCTAATTTCCAGGCTGGAAAAATCTGCTATTGTAATGAAAAAATTTAAAGGGACAGTTAAAGGAAGGCACAGAATTAGATCTGAGTGATTTGCCAGGCTAATGAGTTGCAAGACAATAGAAAACATATTCCTCTCCACTATACTGTAACTGTAAAAGACAGTGTTAAAATAAATGGCAAAGATACAGTGATACCAGGTACACATGTACACTCTGGCTTATGGTTGACATGGGATTTATTTTTTTACCATAATCATATTGGTTATGAATTATAAATGCATTAATGAAAACAGTCTTTTGGAGCAAGATCATCATGCCTTGTCTGCACAGTAGGTCTTGGCACTGGATAGATGACAGGTACCAGGGCTGGGAGAATCTTTCCTCTATGAAGTGGTGCTAGTAGGTATCCGAGGTACCCATACATGCCCCCACCACAGGAACGGGGCTGGTAGACTCTCACAACGGCTAATGACCTGCACTCCTTCTGCCCAGTGTGTATTTCCATCCATGGAGCCCAGGTGGTGTGGAAGTTTGCACTGTACTCTGATGTGTGCCCTCATCCATTGCTGTCTCCTCCACTGTACAGCAGAACTGTAGGTTCCACTGCCATGGTGTCCTCCATGTTTCCAGAGACAGAGGAAGCTTTTGGCTCTCAGTGAATAGCATAGTTTGGCTCAAAGTCAGGCCCTAGAAATACAGCCATACACATAAGACTGCAGAATCTATACTATTGGTGAAGCTGTATGCCGACTCCCCACAAGCCCAAGCACGTCCCCCATGCAAGGGCAAGGAGTAGCCTGTGTCAGAAGTGGGGCTGCTTGATCAGGGTGTTTGGGCTAAAAGATGTTAACCATGCCTTCTGACACCAGGCCATGTCCTGCAACTAGAGTTGACAATGTATTTCAAAAATAAGGGACTGTTTTCTTAGCATGCCTGTCCGACCTCTCCTCCCAATATCATCATCATCATCATAATTAATAAGATGTACTCCCTCCACTCATCATGGGTATTTCTTGCTGCTTTTTGCAGCATTCAGCAACTCCCAATCTTGTTGTACAGAGATGAAAAAATAAAGAATGTCCCTTGTAATAAGGGACTGTTGTCAGCCCTACCTAGAACGTTCCCTCGGTGGGTCCAACCACAAAGCCTTTTGGAATGTGAACTGTACTGGTTCATGGGAACCAGAAGGACACAGCAGCTATGCTCTGGGGTTCCTCTTCTGGCCACCCCTTTTTCAGTGATGTATACCGCACCCCAATCTGCAAGTTGCTAAGGGACTGCAAATGACATTAATTACAGTGGGAGTTTAGGGTTCTTGCCACTTTGCAGGAACGGGCCCGCACAGAGATGCAACCTGAATTTGGCCTAGTATGTTTGACATTTGATACACCTGTTTTATACTGTAAAATTAAGAACTTTTGTAAATAGAGACAGTTAAAAAATGCATCCAGATGAGTCCATAGATGACTATTTCAAGTTTAAGGAGAAAAGTGGTCACGTACAGTATTAGAAAAACTAATTTTGTCACTGTGTTTAGGCACAAATATTTTATCTGTGGAATTTATTGTGTTTTTTGTGAGTTCTGTTTGAGAGAATTAATAATCCATGTTTTAAATTCGGCGTATATGAAAACGTGGATGAGAGTGAGAGAACGAGAACTTTGTCCTGTTTATTAATAATATAAGGACATAAAATGGGAAGAGAAATACAGAGTGAAAATTTAGGGCCACAAAATGAATGACGTTTGATTATTCTTGAGCTCATTTGACTAAATATTCCTTCCATGTAAAAGTCCCGAGACTCTGAATTTGAGAGCTCATGGAGTTCTAAGCGGCTCTTAATCTGAGTGCAAGTACCTCCATTTCTAGTTAAGCATGTTTACTAAGATCAATAACATTTAAAACTAAGATAAGAATAAATAAAATACTTGCTTGCTTTGGTATTGTGGCATTTTCCATATTACCATGGGTTATTTGAATTGTAAACTCCTTGGAGCAAGAACTTGGCCCTGGGAGCGGGGCAGGTTGTCTCATAATCACCTAGTTTCTTGCAAGGTTTTTTGTATGTTTCTGTGAAGCATCTGGGACTGATCACAGCTGGAGACAGGATACTGAACTAGATGCGTCATTGGTCCGTTCCAGTATGGCAATTCCTATGTTCCTTTTTATATTTGTCCATAAAGCACCATGCATAGTGCAGACTGAATACATAACAATATAATTATAAGGAGATACTGTATATTCTAATACTTATGGCTAATGTGTTTTTTTCTTGTAGGTTACCCAACATGTGAACAGTTATCTTGTGCAAATGGAGCATGTTTTAATGCAAGCCAGCGTTGTGATGGTAAAGTAGATTGCAGGGATGCCTCTGATGAAGTTAATTGCAGTAAGTGCCACATTTAGCATAACCCAAACATTTATAGTACTATGTATCCTCTTTGTAAGAGAAATATTGGACTTTGTTTACTACATTTGAATATGTTTTTTTCTTTTCTCCATTCAAATGATATCGTTCAGCTCATGGATGTGCCAGTACCCAGTTTCAATGTGCTAATGGAGAATGCATCCCCCGAGCCTTTATCTGTGACCACGATGACGACTGTGGAGACAGGAGCGATGAAAACTCTTGCAGTACGGTGGTTTTATTTGGCTTGTTTGCCTGTTTTCTTAAGAGCTGGTTTTCTTTGAAAGTGCAGCAGTTAGCACAAAGCAGGAGCAATGCTCCGTTATGTAGCAAACAGAATCGAAAAGTTCTTTTAATATATATATCTATATATTTGCTGAATGATGGACGTTAACAATGCTTCAAAAGGAATTTGCCATGAAATAGGTGTGTGTGGTGTGCTGTATGTACTGGAGTTGGTGAGAATTTGCTGCCTGATAAATGGCCTCATGCCTTGATTTTCTGTATCTGAGCATGAGCCAAAGGTAACTCCTCTTGCTTCCTCTGTCCCAGCCACCCAGAGCGTGCTGCTGTGTATTTTTAAAATTTGTTTGGACCTTTTTGCATTTGTATTATCACATACTGGCTGGACTTCTTAGAATTATTCCCAGTGACCATTATTGATGAACTTCGTATCTCCATTACATATTTAGGTTAACATTTTGATTGACGGTTTTATTGTAGGAAGTCTCTTGCTTATTCTTTTCTTTCGTGGGCTGGGTAATAGTCTTCTTTTGTGCATCAAACCCACAAAACTGCCACTTGGCTTCCTTGTGGGCTCTTCAAATGACCCCAGGGATTCTGAGGCCTACATTGTAGGAGAGCAACAAAGACTTCAGCTTTAGGTTAATGAAAGGCCACATTTTCCTATTTAGTATATTCCCAACACCAAAGACCATTTATTCCCAGCATGCCTCCCCTTCAAGAGCATTCTTCATCTGCCCCTATGATACCAACATTTTTATGCCCTTATATAATGGAAAGGAATGATGTTCTCTACTGTGTGCTGCTTACTGTCCCTCTGAGAACCCGGGGTGCAATTCTCTTTATTTTGCGAGTTTGTGAATGTCACTTCTGCACTGTGCCCAACAGTCAAGAACTTTGGGAACGAGGTGCAATCCAGCCCAGTTGAGTGAACCACTGGGGCAGCTCTAGCCCTTATACGGTTGCTTTTCAATTTCTTCAAGGAGCAAATTAAAATAATCTAAAAATAATCATTCAGAAAGTTCCTACATAAAAACAGGGGCAAAAGTACAAAAGTTACCAGCTGTGCAAAAACTTGAGCTGGGTTTACTCTTCAGGAATGGTTCTAAATGACTGGTCTCCCCATTTATCTGAGAGTTGTACATGTTTGTCCCCTGGCGCAGTTCAGTTTTCTCTTGTTCCTTCCCTCAGCTTATGCAACTTGCAGAGGCAATTTCTTCACTTGTCCGAGTGGCCGCTGTATTCATCAGAGCTGGGTTTGTGATGGAGATGATGACTGTGAAGATAATGAAGATGAAAGTGGATGTGGTAAAAACAGAAGCAAACTTATTTTAATGATGCAGTTTACAAAGAAAAACCTTGCTAACCTCACTGCTAAAAAGTCTTAACATAAGAATGTTTTATATCAGAATTATTAAAGATCCATGGACATTCCTGGAAAACTTTAATTGTTTTTATGGGTACAGTTCTACTAATATAGTATATATTTTTTAATACTTTGGGTTTCCTTATTTTGTATTGCTAAGGTGGTGAGTATAAAGCAGGGTATGTTAAGAATTCATCTGCTTATTCCCTATAGCCCTGATCTTGCACCATTGAAATCAATGGAAACTTTGCCATTGATTTTCATGGGAGCAGGGTATGTCCTCACGTGAAGCCAGAATTCTCAGTTTGTGATAGAATGTCCATTTCCACAGTAACTAACTGTGATATTACAAGTACAGGATTATGATTTCTGGTGGGTTGAGTACAGGAACAGATGAACTGCTGAAAGGAAAATCCTATTTTTGTGTAAATATTCTGAGTAACATTTTTGTTATTAATGATGTGATATTCAAAATAACCATCTCTATCTTTAACAAAGATCTTCCATACATCAAATCACCCTTTTCAGAGGAATTTGTAGTAAATCTGAATATACCGGTTAATGAGAAATGAGTGTGTAGGCATTAGGACTGGTGAAGAGTTTTCTGCTGAAACTGTTTTTCTATGGAAAACTGGGTTTTCGGCTGAACGATTCGCAATGCGGAAAGTGCCTGCTTTCCCAGGAAATTTTTGATTTTTCATCAAAAAACTGTTGCTTGAAAACCAAAATATACTGGCTAAAAACAGAATTTTCTTACAAAAAATTCAGTTTTCAAATTTCTTGTGAAAAATTGAAATTTTCTGTGGGAAAATTTAAACCAATTTTTTTTTTGTTTGTGCTGAAATTTTCTGTGATTACCCTTCTCCCCCTGCCATTTTTAGATCAGCTCTAACAGGCATATTTCAAAAGAACAAAACCATTGTTCCATTTTTAGTACACCAGTCAAGCCAAAGCTAAATAGTAATAGGTATCTGAACAATGGGGAAAAATGGAAAGGGTTCACCTGACTGCATGAGTATTTTCCGCAGTGTAATTTGAAGACAAATGAAAGAACATGGTGACATACTATTTCTTTTATGGGCTGTCACAGCTACATGCAACAATCAGAAGCTGAATGAAAAATAACTGAAGATGCTTATTCCCCAGGAGGCTTTTAGGAAAGCAGCTCCAAGTAGTACTTGAAGCATGTTCCTCAATTATTCTGTGTTGCTTCTCTTTTCCTTAGAAAGTGGTCGCCATGAGTGCTACCCAGGAGAATGGGCCTGTCCTGTGTCAGGCCACTGCATTCCAATTGGTAAAGTGTGTGATGGGACTGCAGACTGCCCTGCCGGAGAAGACGAAACTAACATAACTGCAGGCAGACACTGCAGTGAGTATTAGAATTAGCAGGATGCATGGAACAGCAGAAAACAACCTTGATGTCTCTTTTGTGTCTCTGGGGTTTTCTAAACAGCACTGAGAATTTGTAGGCACGTTATTTTTATTAGCGCTGAGTGGACATACTGAAAAGTATTCTCTGCCATGCATGTACAGTTCTGTTGACCTCTTGTGTGGAAGGTTTGATAGATAAACATTTCTGATTGGTTTTTTTCAATATTTATTTGAAGAGTCAAGGGCTGAGCTCTTGTGGGCCGTTGTTTCTCTTCATCCAAAATATTTTTGTTTTCCCTTTTCACATTAAGCAGGAAAGAGTAATACCTAGTTAGAGCACAGGACTGCATGACTGTGTAACCTTGGTCTGGGCAAGGTCAGAATTTTCAAAATTGTCCATTGATCTTGGGTACCCGTGTTTTAGTGCTCAGCCTGAGAAACTCAGGGCCTGGTTTTCAGAAATGATGAACACAGAGAGGTCCCATCAACTTCAGTTGGACTTGTGGGTGCTCAGTAGAGTTGCCGGGTGTCTGGTTTTTGACTGGAACACCTGGTCAAAAAGGGACCCTGGAGGCTCCGGTCAGCATGGCTGACTGGGCCTTTAAAAGTCCGGTTGGCGGCGCAGCTGGGCTGTCAGACTCCCTGCCTGGCTCTGCGGGGCTCCCGGGAAGCAGCCAACATGTCCCTCCAACTCGGGGGCGGCCGGGGGGGCTCTGTGCACTGCCCCTACCCCGAGTGCCGGCTCCGCAACTCCAATTGGCTGGGAACTGTGGCCAATAGGAGTTGCAGGGGCAGTGCGCAGAGCCCCCTCGCCACCCCTTGGCCTAGGAGCCAGAGGGATATGACACTGCTTCCTGGGAGCCGCTTGAGGAAAGCACCTCCCAGAGCCCGCACTGCGAACTCCCTCTCACGCCCCAACCCCTTGCCTCAGCTTGGAACCTTCCCGGAACCTGTACCCCGCATCTCCCCCCTCTGTACCCCAATCTCCTGTCCCAGCCTGGAACCCCCTCCTGCACTCTGAACCCCTCAGCCCTAGCCTGGAGCTTCCTCCTGTACCCCAAACCCCTCATCCCCAGAGCCTGCACCCCCAGCCAGAGCCCTCACCCCCTCCCGCACCCCAATCCCCTGTCCCAGCCCTTTGAAAATGAGTGAGTAAGCAAGGGTATGGGAGAGTGAGCGACTGAGGGAGGGGGGATGGATTGAGAGGGGGTGGGGCCTCAGAGAAGTGTCAGGGGTAGGGGGCGGAGCAAGGGTGTTCAGTTTTCTGCAATTAGAAAGTTGTCAACCCTAGTGCTCAGTGCCTCTGAAAATCGAGCTGTGGTGTTTTAAATTGGGCATTCATAATTATGGGAAAGGTAAAGAAAATACACTTCTCCCATTTAAATCACACTTTTTGGAATAAGGTTGCAGCAAAATGACAAGAGTTTAAGGCTATGCCGCTGTAAGGTCTCCAGTGTAGCTTCTCTTTGCTGGCAAGAGAGAGCTCTCCTGCTGGCATAATTAAACGACCCCAGGGAGCAGAGGTAGCCTCTCCTGCTGACGTAGTGCTGTCCACACCAGCACTTTTGCCGGTGAAACTTACATCGGTCAGGGGGGTGTTTTTTCACATCCCTGACTAATAAAAGTGGTAGTGTAGACACAGCCGAAATCTTGTCCTGGGAAAGTGTCTCTGACCTCTGCTAAGTGATGTGATTGTAACATCAGAGAGCTGAGCTGCTCACAGAGTAGCTTCGGAGGGAAAAGGGGAGAAAGAAGTAAGACAAGGGAACTGAAGGAGGCAGAGAGCGACCTCTCTGATATCACAATATCACCACTCAGCAACGAGCTGCCTGTAGGACAGAGGGAAAGGGAGCAGCAGTGAAGAATTGGAGAGGTAGAGGAAAAAGAAGCCAGCACATTATTTCATGAGTGCAGCCTAACTCTCATATTGCACTGGTTAATGAACTGAATGGAAGAAACGCTTTCCTGACCACCCAACTATTAATAAAATTAGTGATTGTTGCAGAAGTGCTCTATAAAAGAGAGATGTCTGTATATATGTAAATAGTGAGGGCTAGTAGTGTTGCGAGTCGATGGCGCTCAAGGATATGCAGCAAGCTGCTGAGTTTTGTAGGACCAATAAAGCTTGCAGTTATGCACTGTAAATGGCTGCCTCAGTGCAGCGATTTATATGGAGCTCTTACTATTTGATTGTTTTCATGTAAGACTGAATTTCATCCTTTCACTGCTTCCTGAAAACTCAAATCCTCAAAGACTTCTCTAAACCTTACCCTTCCTGCCTCACTGTCCTGCTAAATTAGATGTGTATGCCTGCATGCACACAAACACACATGGTATTGTGGAACAAACAAGATGTGTGTTTAGCTTCACCATTGACTTTTTCATTTTTATACTGTCTAGTTAGAGCCTGAGCCTGCTGCCAGGGCTGCCCATATTTGTTTTTGCATGGGAGTGTGGTTCTTTGCTTATGGACCAGTTTCAGGATGTGTTCTGCAAATTGTAAGCTCTTCACAACAGGCACCTTGGCTTCGTAACTGTCTGTAAAGCACCATGCAGTCAGCTGCTATACAGATGACACTACTATTGGGCATTCCTGAAGTGACTTCATTTTATTTTTAGACATATCCCACTGTGCTGCCTTGAGCTGCCAGTACCGCTGCCATTCTTCACCATCTGGAGGGACTTGCTATTGCCCTGCGGGATATGTAATCAGCAGCAATGACAGTCGCACCTGCATTGGTAAGTGAACAGTAGAGATGCAGATATATAAGTCTGGACTTTTCTCACAAGGGTCCTGGATATTATGGATTCCACAAGTTTGAAAAAGAATCTATGATTATTGGATACGTATGTGTGGGTGGACACATTGGCAAGCAGGTAAATCTTGAGAGTCATAAAGTTAAACCTCAAGCTGAATGGAAAAATAGCAAGAGACCAAAAGCTCAGCAGCAGCATAAAGCCACTGTGGGACAGAGGAACAGGTCAGTGAGCGGTCATGAGGTCTTCACTTCCCAGCTAAGGAAAGACCAGTCTTTTAATACTTGGAGAGGTTGTCTGTGGTTAGAAAGGCTGACTCTGGTATGGCAACTGTATGTTCAAATCTGATGAAACAGCCCTTTTACTGTTCTTGAGAGATTGATCCTGCATGCTGGGGTGTATGGCTACATACCTGGGAAATCAGAAGTTACTCAACATTTGATCTATAATTCAAAACTGACCTTATGTGAAAATGCAGATTGTTGTGGGTAAGGTAAAATGAGTACGGTACATTACTTTGCCACTCTGGAAGTCTGTATCTCCTATTATGCACACATCACATAGCCTTGCATATAAACTAAAAAAAGTTTCAAGGTGTTGTTTGGCTTATATGCAAGTCATTGGGAAGAAGGGAATCACTGAAGTAGGTATCCAAGGAAGTAGATCCCCATGTAGCTGCTTGATTCTGTGTTAAAGCAAATGCATGTGCAGGGAGCCCTCTTCTTTAACTCTGATTCAGGAACAAGTTGGAAAACCTACTCTCTGACCTAGTGTAAAGCCAATCACTCTTCTCTTAATCCCATTGATTGGCCTATAAAACAAACTCTCCACATTTGCTAGGAGATTGTGACAGGATGTCAGGTGATATTCATCATGTGAGATACAGGCTTGCACGGAAGAGATGGGCCATAGTAATTTTACTCAAAATCTAGCAAGGGATCAATGACTCCTCTCTTCCTCCCGCTGACTCTCATGTAAAAAGGGAAGTCCCTTGCTCAACTCCTGATTCAATACGTAGAAGGTGGGGGCCAGCTGACATGTGAATCATTTCCTCTGGTTAGTATTGAGATAAGAAGTGAAGGGATTGGCTTATACCTAGGTTGGCTTATTAGCTGTAATGTTCAGTAGGTTATTCTTTCACTTTTTAGTTTAAATTTAGTTTTACTGGTTGTATGCCTGAGGAATTTAGTGGGAAGTGGTTTTAGTGGAAAGTATTAATTTCCCAAACTCATAATCTTTTCATTTTTCCCTCTTCTCTGCTCCTGGTAGGGTTGCCAACCCTCCCGGTTTCGCTGGGAGTCTCCCGGAATCAGGCTCTATCTCCCAGAGGCTACTGAAGCCAAACTGGGAGATTTTAGGCGCTAAAAGTCTGGCAGCGCAGTGCGGCTAAGGCAAGCTCCCTGCCTGCCCTGGTCCCACACTGTGCCCAAAAGTAGCTGGCATGTCCCTGGGAGGGGTGGGGGCAGGTGGTCTTCGCATGCCACCCGCACCCCGAGCGCCGACTCCGCAGCTCCCATTGGCCAGGAACTAGCCCATCCCCCCACCCAGGGACGTGCCGGCCACTTCTGGGAGCGGTGCGGGGCCAGGGCAGGCAGGGAGCCTGCCTTATCCCCACTGCGCTGCCGACCGGGAGCCACCTGAGGTAAGCGCTGCCCGGCCGGAGCCTGCACCCCTCATCCCCTCCTAACCCCCTGCCCCAGCCCTGAGCCCTCTCCTGCACCCTAACTCCCTCCCAGAGCCTGCACCCCACATCTGCTCCTGTACCCCAACCCCCTGGAGCCCTGAGTCCTCTTCTGCACCCAAACTCCCTCTGAAAGCCTGCACCCCTCACCCCCTCCCGCACCCCAACCCCCTGCCCCAGCCTGGAGCCCCCTCCTGCACCCAAATTCCCTCCCAGAGCCTGCACACATCACCCCCTCCCACGACCCAACCTCCTGCCCCAGCCCGGAGCTTCCTCCAGCACCCACACTCCCTTCCAGAGCTTGCACCCCCCACCCCTCCTGCACTCAACCCCCTGCCCCAGATTCAGCCCAGGACCCCTCCCACACTCTGAACCTCTCGGCCCCAGCCCAGAGCCCGCACCCCCTCCCGCTCCCCAACCCCTTTCCCCTGCCAGGTGAAAGTGAGTGAGGGTGGGGGAGAGTTAGTGACGGAAGAGAGGGGATGGAGTGAGTGGGCCGGGGCCTCAGAGAAGGGGTGTGGCAGGGGGCATGGCAAGGGTGTTTGGGTTTGTGTGATTAGACAGTTGGCAACCCTACCTCCTGGCTGTTTCTTCTTCACTGTGCTGTGGTGATTTATAGCATATGCCAAAGCTCTGGAACACCACAACTGAGAGCAACATCTATTAATTACCAAAAAATGCCACTTGGAAAATATTTCATTCCCATTTTGTTTCAACAAATGCTTAAAATTCGAAACTCTAATAACAAGGCAGTTATCTCACCTTTCTCTCTGGGTTTACTTACCTTTCTGCCTTCCCCAGCTAGCAACAGAAAGTCGTCCAATTTCAATTGTTCTTGCAGCTTTCGAAGTGGAGGAGTTTAAGATTTTAATGCTAAAACCATGGTCAGATTAGTGCCAATAATCTGCTTGCTGCTCTTGTTGTAAATGACTACATAAATGTATGGGACCAAGTTGCTTATGCCGGGGTCAGAGACCAGTAGAGGTAAAGGGCTCTACGTTATTTTAAAAAGTCACAAAGAAAAACCCTTAGATGTTTCTCTATTCTAGAAATAAAAAAAAAGATCAAGGGCAATTCCACAGATGATCAAACAATTTTTTAGATCTTGTTATCAGGAAAATCTATTCTTGTTTTTAAAATTCCTTAGCTTTATCCGTCCTGCTTTGACATGAGGGTAGGACATAGGGTAGATCTCTGCCTCTGACACTTCTTGCCATTTGTTAGGTAGGTGGGACACTTCACTTTACTTGCACCAGGGGATTTGTGGATCTACTGCCCTTCCTTTTTGGTCCATCTCCAAGATACCCAGCTCTCTCTCTTTCAGTTGCCAGGTCCTTTCCCTCTTTGTTAACAGATGAAGAAAGCTTCCAATAGAAATTCTACAGCAACCTCCAGAGCAGAGCTGTGTGATATTAGTGAAGCTTTCTAAACATACTCACATTTTGTCAACATTGCAGTCAAAGCTTGTAAGCCTGGCACGCTGGTCCTGATGAACACTGGGAGGGAGACACTGGTCCTCCCTGTTCATGAAAGCACGAGTTGGTTCAGGGAATCGTGGCCTTCCCATGGAGCTTTGTGTACTCACCAGAACGCCAGCTTTCATTTAACATGAGGTTTCTAGTCCTTGAAGTTCTGAAGGGAGCCTTAAACTGCAACATCCAGAGAAGGGTGAACTTAAGTTTATTTCAATGGAATAACACTGGGGCTTGGTATTCCTGGGCAGTGATTCTTTCTAGTTACATAGACAGAATCCAAGTTAGCAGAACAAATCTGAATTTCATGCTAGCACAAATACAGAGATCTCTGTGCAAGAGAGATCAGTCCTAAACCTTTCTGTGCTGCTTCCCAGAGTCCCTGTTCCAATCTCTAGCTCTTCCGGTTCTCTCTGCTGCACTTGCATAGGCTCCCAAATCTGCTCCAGTCTGTAAACAAGCCCATGCTCTGTTGGCTCCCTCATGAGTTCTAACGAATCTCATTTCCTTAGCTCTGGCTTCTTAACAGAAAAAGCATCATAGTAGTCAGGCACTGGACATTGTTTTAACAAGTAACTTCCTTTTCCCCAGTTCCCAGCTAAGTGGTAGGTGGCAGGAAAAGGCAGTGGAATGGAGGAAGCAGGTGCAATGGAGTGCAGGGCTGGCAAGTTGTATGGGCCCATGGTGCCCGTGCCCCACCAATATTATAGCAGAGGGTCCCGGCTCCACCAAAGTTCAGGGCCGGGTCTCTCCCTGGCCCCGGCTGCTGCCCCTGTGCGCCTCCCCCGTCCCGTCCCCCCCGTCCCCGCCTGCTGCCATCGGGCAACTTAAAAGGGCCCGGGGCCCCCGCTGCCACCACCAGCAGCATAACAGGGCTAAGGTGGCTTCCTGCCCGCCTGCTCCGCTTCCGGAAGCAGCCGGCATGTCCCTGCGGCCGCAGGGGGAGGACGGGGGCTGCGTCTCCATGTGCTGCCCCCGCCTCGAGCACCGACACTGCCAACTGCGTCCAATGGGAGCTGCGGGGGCGATGTCTGCGGGCAGCAACGCATGGAGACCCCTCCGGCCCCCCGCCTAGGAGCTGCTGCCAGAGGGGTGTATGGGTCGCTTTCGGGAGTCACTCGAGGTAAGCGCTGCACCCCTCACCCACTCCCGCACCCCAACCCCCTTCTCTAGCCCAGAACCCGCACCCAAACTCCCTCCCAGAGCCCGACCCCTCCCCCCTCCTGCACCC